TATTCATTTGTCTCCCATGTGATTTCTTTACTTTTGTCTCCCAGGTTGGGTGCCTGCACTGCTGGTGTCCGCCCTATTCCGCTGGCCATGCAGCATTTCTATTCATTTGTCTCGCATGTGATTTCTTTATTTTTGTCTCCCAGGTTCGGTGCCTGCACTGCTGGCGTCCGCCCTTTCCGCTGGCTATGCAGCATTTCTGTTCATTTGTCTTGCATGTGACTTCTTTACTTTTGTCTCCCAGGTTCAGTGCCTGCACTGCTGGTGTCCGCCCTTTTCCGCTGGCCATGTAGCATTTCTAGTCATTTGTCTCCCATGTGATTTGTTTACTTTTGTCTCCCAGGTTCGGTGCCTGCACTGCCGCGTCAGCTCTTTTCCGCTGGCAGCATTTCTATTCACATGAGCAGCTTCAAAAACCTCTGTGTGCAAACTGTAATCTCACATTCTTTCGCGAAAGCCAAAGCGCAGGTCGCGAAAGGTTCGCGAAAGCCCCGCGAAAGAACCCCAGAAGAACAGCGTCGCGAAAGCTTTCGCGAAAGTCGATTTTCTTGTGCATGTCGTGTTGTTTATGTGGGTGACCATATTTTTATGCAGGCAGCCGCAGCAGGCCAGCCAGCCAGCCAGCCAGCCGCAGCAGACCAGCCAGCAGCAGCAGCAGCGCTGAAGAGCAAGTGTTTCAGGGGAAAATCGAAAAGCCCAGACGAATTTCCGCGAAACCCGCGCGAAAGCCTCGCGAAAGAACCGCGAAAGTCGAAAATATCCGGGAAAGGTATCTGGCCCCAGCAAAAAGTTTCAGCAAGTTTTCCTCCTCTTCTGATGACAACAATAATACTTGAACGGTGCTGCTACAACTCCTTGTGCCAGGATGTTGCCGGAAAGAAATTTGTTCAGTTTTGACCACCCTAAGGACACTTATATCGGATAACTTATATAGATCAATCACTTTATTATACAATATCCCAATCGAATTTCCCAATTGAAAACGAATCGCCGCGAAAGCCGCCGCGAAAGCCCCACATAACACCACACCTTCCGCGAAAGCCAGAATGCAGGCCGCGAAAGCTCCGCGAAAGCTTTGCGAAAGCAAACCTGGATTATACAAAAAAGTAATAGGGGTTTTCGAAGCTGCTCACATCTCTGCCAGGTGACTTCTTCATTTTTTGCCAAAACAGGATACTGTTGGGGGTTCTCAATGTTTCTAAGAGTGTCCGCCTTGCTGCGGGACAGCGGGATACTGCTAGGGGTTCTCAATGCTTTCTAAGAGTGTCCGCCTTGCTGCGGGACAGCGTGTCCGCCTTCCATCCGGCTTGTCTCCCTTTGCCTCCCTTCTTGTTGGTCACCGTGTCCGTCTTGTCTCCTTTCTGTTTCCGTTTGTCTCCCTTCTTGTCTCCCTTCTTGTTGGTCATTGTGTCCGTCTTGTCTCCCTTCTGTTCCCTTTTGTCTCCCTTCTTGTCTCCCTTCTTGTTGGTCAATGTGTCTGTGTCTGTCTTGTCTCCCTTCTGTTTCCTTGTGTTTCCCTTCTTGTCTCTCTTCTTGTTGGTCATAGTGTCCGTCTTGTCTCCCTTCTGATTCCTTTTGTCTCCCTTCTTGTCTCCCTTCTTGTTGGTCATTGTGTCCTTCTTGTCTCCCATCTGTTTCCTTTTGTCTCCCTGCTTGTCTCCGTTCTTGTTGGTCATTGTGTCCGTCTTGTCTCCCTTCTGTTCCCTTTTGTCTCCCTTCTTGTCTCCCTTCTTGTTGGTCAATGTGTCTGTGTCCGTCTTGTCTCCCTTCTGTTTCCTTTTGT